TCGCAGATCCATGAACCGAAGATGAAGGTTGATCCCGTCGAGAAGATCATGTTGTCGAGGTCCGTTGAGCTTCTCGGATGCAAATTCGCCGAAAACCCCTACCTGGCGTGCCAGCTGTCAATGTTTCACCACTGATAGCCTGCCACGAGGGTACCCGGGGCAGTTTGTTCAGGCTTCAGCGTATGCAGAACTCGACGGTAAACGCAAGAGACAGTCAATTTATCCTGGTTCGGACCCTCGATCGTGATCGAGTAATAGCCCTACGTCTAGTCGGCGTTGGCCTTTGCGTTGGATTGATGATCCAGTGTCTCCAGGAACCTCGCCCTCCTTTATATAGTTAGGAGGCCAGAGTCCTAGTCGGTTTACAATGAGAGTTACTAGTAGGATTACAGAATAATACTACTACTAAGATTACATGGAAAGAATCCTAGTTAGACTAGATCTTCTCCCTTTCTTGTGGGGTATCCCGTGGGTCCCGTATCGACAGTCTCATTTACCATTTACCAAATATGCTTGCTTTCACATGATGCTATGACATCCCACAACATAGAAGCCATTTCATTGATTCCCTTTGCATTGTTGTCTTTTGCTTGAACTAGATTGTTCCCATAATCTTCCAACACAACAATACACAATTTTAGCCTTGATTTGAACATTATATGGAATTTCATCAAGTTTGCCTTCTTGTTGAACCTATATACACTTTTCATTTCACAACCCACAAGTGCATGCAATAAACTTAATTTTCTGTTCAACACTTAGCAAACTTGTTAGACCTTTAATGGTGCTGTCATTCAATTCACCAAAACCCACTAAAGGGCTAGATGTACTTACAGTATCTAGAGCTAGTTGTGTAGCCAAATGGTTCCAAGGTGGATCTTAGATCCACTAGTGAAGCTGCACCACGATAAATCCTAGATATAGATTCACTTTTTTCAAGGGAGAAGTTGTCCCACACAATCCCTATCTAACCACCATCTTCCACCACATCATAGGGCGGTGCCCCCATTGCCCCACCTCCAGCTCTGGTTCGACGACCCTTTAGAATTGGAGGCCATGGAACCCTATAGTCCTGAATCCTAAGAGGTTGGGAAAAAATTATTTGACACTTAAAGATGACTTGGTTCCTTACATGAATCTAAAATAAAACTTTCCCTATTTGAAATTGGCTTTATTTTTTGTGCCAATTTGACACTATCATTAGTTTTTGTATCTAACAGTGTTTACGGCCAACAAAATTATCATTTTTCCCCTGATGTCTTGTGCATCACCTTGAAATTTTGCAGCAACAGCAGGTTATGGTGGCTTTGTTGTGTTCCATATTTTTTATGGTGATATTTTGGACAGAACCAGTTTAATCAATTCATGTTGTGATCTATTAGATTGAAGTTGAAACATGTGAAAATAGCAATAAAATGGCAAATGAATTCCCATGTGTCATTCTAGTGTCACATAGTGCTCTAGTTACAAAGAGTTTGCACTACAAGAGTTCTCAATCAAAATGTCAGTCTCCTAAAATTATTCATAGTAGGCTCAGTCTGTTGAAAAGAGACGCGCCACTCTAAATTAATTTTGAGAGACGTGCAATTTTTGGCTGTCTTTGTAAAATAAAATGATAGCTTCCAAAACTTATTAGGTGCTTTAAAGGACATACATTTTGTGACCACCTCTGATAATAAAAAATAGTTGTCTCCTAAAATTAATTCTGTAGTAGTACCTAAAATTAATTTTGTAGTAGTATTACTGTCTGTCTAGAAAAAGCCAAAATATCTTATAATTTGAAACAGAGATTAGGTCCAATGTGGTCCAATTTTACGAATCGATATAATATCGTTAAAAAATACAAACCTTATGAAGAAAACAAAAACAATCCGAGATGGCGAGATCGGTGCATTGTTGTGGTGAATTATCCGATGTGCACAATCTGGTGACGTCAGATACAAATCCGCTGAGTCCCCATCTGCGTTAGTAACAACCTTTTGCTATTCTATTGCAGCCTTTATAGAGATTTTATCCAACTATCCGATGCTATTGTATCGTAGTCTACAACTAACCAAGAGTCTGAGCCCCTCGTAGGAGCATGTGGTGGAGCCCCGCCTCATTTTCCATTCATGAGGGAGAGGGTAGGGAGAGGGAAAGGGAATATGCGTCACTAGAGACAAGTGTGCTACGTGACATCTTCCTCTGCCTCCCGAGCGATGTTGACTCCATCAATTTCTAGCACGTGTTCCACTGTTGGCATGTCGCCATAGGCACTGGCATGCCTGTGCCCCGGCCATGGTTGTAGGGTCGAGATGGCGGACTAGAGGTGGTGATTAGTCCTTTCTAAAATTAAATGTGCCGGCTAACCAAAACAAATGCAGAATTAAAACTATCGGTCTAGCCAAAACTACACCCCTCTATCTATATTCTCAGGCACCTTAAAAAGATCTTAAACTAGCAACTAAGGTGCCAGGCTAGTTAGAGCTCACCTAACAAATTCTAGCTTGCAAGGTCACACAAACCTATGCAACTAGTACTTCAAGCAACCCGGGGAGCTCCTACACAACTAGTGATGCAAAGCGCACAAAGCTCCTAAGTTCACTAGCAATGCTCAATAACAAGGCTACACAAGCTAAATTAGAGAGCTCAAACCACTTATCTACATAAACTAAGCAATGTGACTAATAAGGTTACTCAAACCAAATTAGTCATGCAAGGAAGCTACTTCTATGCTACACAAGCAAGAAGGTAAATAGCAAACTACACAAGTCAACTAATTACAAGAGCAACTACATAAGCACAATATATGAAAGGTAAATACAAGCTTGTGTCATGAGGATGTAAACCAATGGGAAGACAAGTTTACACGGTGAATTTTATCGCGAAGTTCACGTGCTTGCCAACATGCTAGTCCCCATTGAGACAAGCTCCAAGGTTGCCGCCGGTCCTCTTGCTAGTGGTGACCCACAAGTCACACTCTCTCACGTGGAGTGCTTACCACAAGCTCTAGCACTTGACATGGCTGGACCACTTGTAGCCCTTCGTATCTCGTTCAACTAGAGTTGATCTTCACGGCTCCCGCGGGGTGAGCACAATACCCCTCACAATCTCTTCTCCGGAGCACCGCACAATCTTCTTTGCGTGCTTCGACGGAGACCACCACCAAGCCGTCTAGGAGGTGGCAACCTCTAAGAGTAACAAGCATCATCGGCTTGCAACTCGATCACCTAGTGCCACTCGATGCAACTTAACCTCACTATGCAACGCACTAGAATCACTCACTCGCAATGGATTCGCACTTCTCGCAAGCATAAGTGAGTTAGAGGCTTCTCAAATCAAGCACACACAAGGGCAACACATCCCCAAGGTGCTCAACCTCAGCCAAGCTCGAGCTCCACCTCTATTTATAGCCTCCAAGCCAAATAGAGCCGTTGGAGCCTAGTAGCACATTTCTGCGCGGGCACCGGACAAGGGGTGGTGGTGCCCCAATGGTCAAATTGCAATGGCTAATTTAAACTGGCCGTTGAGACCCTAGCACCGGACATAGGGGGCAGTGCACCACCCTAGGGGTGGCGGTGCCCCCAAACGAGTTTCCTCACTCTCTGGAAAAAGTGGCGGTGCCACACCACCATGGTCACCAGACAGTCCGGTTACCAAAACTTGCTCCAAATAGAGATCCACCACTTTAGGCTTCTAGATCATTTCATTAGCTTTCTAAAAAGTCTTAGATCATCGAATCGGAGTTCGGAGCTAGGAGTTATGCCCAAAATACAAAAGGGTGCTCCTGCTGTTTTTGGGCACCACCCTAGGGTGGCGGTGCACCACCCTAGGGGTGGCGGTGCCCACTTTTTGGCCACCAGAAAGGGTGGTGCCACCCTCTACAATGGCTACAATTTGGCTACAAGTTAGGTTACAACTTCCGACTCTCGAACAACCATAACTTGCACTATTCTTCTCCTTTTCCTCTCCAACTTGATCCGTTTCAACACCAACAACTTCTCTTTTGCAAATGTGCCAACACCACCAAGTGATCACCATCTTGTGCATGTGTGTTAGCTTTTTACAAATGTTTTCCAAAGGATTAGTCACTCAATTCACCACGCTACTCGATCCTAGCAACGATGCAAAGTTAGATCACTCGAGTGGCACTAGATGACCGATATGCAAACAAGTTTGCCCCTCTTGATAGTACGGCCATCTATCCTAAACCCGGTCATAAACTTCTCTACACACCTATGACCGGTGAAATGAAATGCCCTATAGGTTATACCTTTACCTTGCGCATTTCATTTCATCTCCTTCGATATCGATGCAACACATGCACCAACATAATCACAAATGATATGATCCACTTCATATCATCACGAGACCTTGTTGGTTCATCAATCTTGACCTCACTTGCTTTTCACCGTTGCCTTCGTCCATCGGTGTCAAGTCTTGCTCAAGCTTCACCACCACGCGGTCCATCGCTCCAAAGCCTCCAACTTGCCCTTCACACTTGCAACTGGTCCATCAAGACAAGTCTTGTCTTGATCTTCTCCACCTTAGTCACATGACTCCATGTCATGTGTCATATGCAATGAGTTCCTTCATCACATGTGTGAGCCTTACAACATATCCAAGCCATTTCACCTCCATGGCATAGGTTGCTCACACATGATGTACTTGTGGACTAATCACTTGTGTATCTCACTCAAACACATATTAATACACTTAATGTTGTCACTCAATTACCAAAACCAAACAAGGACCTTTCAATGGTTCATCTTGAAGCCCGTCGAGGACGACCTGCCAAGTCACGCCATCTATCGTAGGGATTGGTGGATGATATGAGAGGATTGAAGGAATATCCATGATGAGTGAGCGAATGGCGAACGAGCTCATGCACGCCTTTGACTTCCCACCGTATTTGGAGACCGAGCCGTACGACCACATCGAGAACACCACGAGGATCCTCACCAACCATTCCGGCCCCGTCAACTATCTCAAGGTCGATTCATCTCTCTACCCCACCGAAGATGCTCACGTGGTGGATGGACATGCTCTCTGCCAAAGGCATCACGGAGCTAGTGATGCTCGACGTGGCCGCCCCATCAGCCATTGCCGCTATTGAGTTTTCGGTGAGCCGTCTGCGCATCCCCGCCCTCGCTAAGCTCACGCTTGGCTTCATCAACATCACCTTTGGCTGGTGCATGGGATTCTCGGAGTTAGAGGCATTCTTCTTGGTGTGTTGTAGCTGTTCGGCCAGGCACGTGTCCCTGGCCATGGAGAAGCTGGAGAACCTGAAGACCCTCAGGATTTTTGGCGTCGATCTCGCGGTCGTGGGCGTGGGCACCGGCGCCGGAGACGGTGCTATGGAGATAGCCTCCAGCTCGTTGTCATCGTTGGAGTTGATGGAGTCAAAGGCGTCCACTCTGGCCATACGCCAGGATGGCATCGGTGGTACAATAGGCGGATAGAGATGGCGATAATGAAAGAATATCAAGGACTTAGGAAGAAAGAGCGGACGTCGAATGCTAACGGGCTAGCACACGTGTCTATATCGGCCCATATCTGTTGGAGGAGGTTAGTTTTCAATTATAAACCTATCCACTAAGATTCAAGTCCTAAATCCTAACGACCTTAATCATCCGCCGCCTTCATATTTGGAGTTGCAACTGACTGGGACTGTAGGAGCATGCGCCATCTTGATTATTTCTAGCAGTTAAATGTGATCGATAGCGATGGTACTTTGGTGAAACATTTTTCCCTTTTTCAACAAGTGGAGATGTTTTAGAATTTTAATGGATTTTTACTATTTCTTTTGAGAGAGGAAGGATGGCTTGAAGCAAACAAACTCGACTTATAGATTGACAAAATCTTCAATCTCTATCATAAAATCTAATCTTATTATGCTAATAGATACTGCCAAATCGAAATGATACCAATCCTATTATCTATTTTAAATTTTATAGTATCCCGATTGTACGTGAAAGTTTCATTCGACCCTATATAAAATTTCATAATATCTTGATAATACAATCTAAAAACACTATATGATAACTAATAGAAATAATATTTTAAATTCAATTATTATTGATCTCGGACCAAACAATGAGATGTGAGACTAGAGAAAGTAAGAGAGGGCAATGACCAATGAATGATGGGCCAAAGGTCCTCTCCACCTTCTGGCTCCATTGTCTTTTATAGGGGAGGTGAGAGGGGATGTTTTAATTTTCATTTCCAGTGAGGTTTATAATTACAAATAGATCCTTAAAAACTACAGGCCCTAAACACTCATGAACAACCCCAGGGATTAACTAATTAGGCCTTTCTATACTAATGGGAGTTCCTAACTTATTATACACCTAGGGATGATGAAAACGGATCGGATCAGATCAGATTTGGAGCCGATAATACATGGATGCGGATGCGGATGCGAATTTTTCCGGATGTCGAAAATGGTATGGAGATGGAGCGGAATCAAATCAGAGATGAATTTAAATAGTCAAGTAATATATACATACATAGAGAATTTTATGCTTACAAAGAATTAATTTACTAAAGAGCCAATAGCAAGCAGTAGACAATAATCTTACATTGCATTCCATGTTGTGGCTATCACATAGGCATTAATACTTAACAGGGTATCCACACTCACAAATGATATGTTATTAGCAAGCAAATTCCCAATTTATAATTTAGAATATAAAACAACCACATCATAAAATAAAAGTTCTCAACTAACAAGTTTTTTTAATCCTGAATTACTCTGATTTTAGAGAGAAAAAATATTGGATATGTTATTTTAAATATCAGATAACCCACATAGAATTTGCGGATAATCCATATCTCACTGATTTTGCCAATTTTGAATTCTACCCCACGCACACACAATTAGATTTGGATTATCCATATCTACAAGGATATTAAAAATTCTTCAATGTATCCTCAAAATTCAAATTTGGATCCGAGAATTATCCACATCATTTTCATTCCAAGATACACTTCCAATAGTTACGATAAAATATTACTCCATGCATTCCAAATTATAAGTGGTTCTGACTTTTTCTAAATTGTAAGGAAAATAGACCCTAGGCCCATTTACTTTGGATTTTGGTGTTTGATGACCAACACATCCAAATTGGACTAATGAATTTGCAAGTGATTGTTTTGTAGTTCAATAGGGTGCAAGACGTGACTTGGACGAAGGCGGCGTGATGATCCGATGATCAACACCTCAAGAAAGACATGTGAAGATGCATAGAAGACATATAAGGTCAAGCAAAGTCCAAGCACGAAGATTGAAACCAAGCCGGACGCAAGATCGTGAAGAAACGAGCCCGACAGAGGTGACCGGACGCAACCCTAATAAGGACCGGACGCGTCAGATCAGTTGCTCGGCAATACCAGGCGTCGGCAGCTATGACTGGATGCTGAGCAGTAGTGACCGGACGCTGAGCGAAGCAGTGATCGGACACACTGGTGACACTGTTCATCATCACGGCAGTGTTTTCAGCGTGACTGGACGCAACAGACTGGACGACCGGACGCATGAAGTGTAGCATCCGATCGAGTCCAGAGAGGTTCTAGAGCGACGCCAGCGCGACCGGACGGGACCAATCAATGATGACCGGAATCAGGACGTGATCAGCATCTGGTCAGCAACAGAAAGCTAGGTTTTGTCCCCAACGGCTACTTTCTCATAGAGGCTTATAAATAGACCCCCCAACCGGTCATTTGAAGTGAGTGGAGCTGGGGAAACATACCAAGGGTGTTGATACACCATTTTTGTGATCTCCACTGGCATAGTGCTTAGTGATTCATTAGGTGATTAGCGTAGGTGCTTTACGAAGTGCTTAGGTTGATTAGACCACCGCTTATCGGTAGCAGTCCTCCGAGGGGTATCCCACGAAGGTAGATTGATCGGTAGAGATGCGTGTAATCGAGAACAAGAAGGCAACAGAGACACAAGAGTTAGACAGGTTCGGACCGTCGACGTGACGTAATATCCTACTCCTGTGGTCTGTTGGATTATATTGGCTATCGTATGATATTATGTGTGTTTGGAGGAGGTCCCTGCCCGCCTTATATAGTCTGGGGGTAGGGTTACAAGTCGGTTAGATCTAGGAGATAACCGGAAAGTAATAACAGATTATAGGAATCATGGGATCATACGTATCCTAACAGATCTCGTAGTATCTTCAGGATATCTTTCTGGTGTCTTGCGGGACGCGCCGAGCAGCGCCGTGCCCCACAAGGCTTCGTCTTGTGGGCTGGGCCGCCCCTGGGGGCGCAGCCCATATGGTCTGCCGTGGGTATCCGGGGTCGTACCCTCCACAGGTTCTCTTGACGGTTTTCTGGATAAACCCTGCTGAAAGCATAGATTCACGAAAACATACGGAATTTATTAGTTTAAACCCTATATCTATGTTTGATGAAGAAAATAAGTATAAATATAGGTTGTATTGACGGTTTATAATTGATATTAGTTACCGTCGACAACTGTCTACTATGAACTCGGGTGTTTTACACACTCCTGTCACCCAAGTGTCAGACGTATAAAACAGTTGATTTACCAAACAAACCAGAATCGAGTGTTTCTAGAGCATGGAACACATAAAACATAAATAAAAATAGCAAATAAAACTGACAGAAAAATATCTAGATTATTTTTATGAAAAGCAAATTGGAATAAATCCAAATAGAGACAAAAAATGGCATACAAATACAAAAAAAATCAGGAAAATATACAGATAACATACCAGATAGTGCAAATCAGCTATCTATATAATGCAGCACCAGTTTACTCTGGTGCATCAAAGAAATTACACTTACAGTCTGAACAAATTACATTGCATTCTACAATTTAAAAGTAGTAAATAGTAGAATATAAGTGTCAACATAGCTCACAGATACTATAGAAACTAGCAATCCACCGCAGGGGAGAAGCGTTGGCCAGAGCTGCAGGTGGAGGAGGCAGGCGGGGAATAGAGGAAGAAGGCACGCCCGCCATCACGCCGTCCTGTAGCCGAGCAGAGGTGGCCAGAGTCGATGGGCATGGAGCAAAGGAAGAAGGCGCAGGAGCTGTCCTGCAGGTGAGCAGCGCTGGGTGGAGCATGCGCGCGTGGGTCATAGAGGAGAGCGATGACGCTGCGGTGGAAGGGATAGAAGAGGATAAGGATGGGAAGGATAAGACTGAAGGGCTTCACGCAGTGTGGAGAGGCTTCTAGAGAGACAGGCCTTACGTGTACAGGTGGATGGACTCCGCAGCATGCATCGGACGGCTGAAGAATCGAGCACGGCGAGTGAAAATAATGCTCGAGTGCCGTGTACATTAATCGAAAAAAAAACAACTTACAACAGCTAATGAAGATGTTGGTGGCGAGCGTAAATAATGCTCGAGTGCCGTGTACATTAATCGAAAAACAAAACTTACAACAGCTAATGAAGCTGTTGGTGAATATATGAAGTAGAATACTCCTCTCCTCCGTTCAAGTTCGGTAACCATGCCGGGACGTAAAACCTAAGCAACTGCTTCTATTTTATAGGCTGAGCTTGGTGAGGTTATGTAGAATTATGGTGTCGAGTTACCTATGCTCGAAAACTGGACGGCGGACGCTATTGTGCCATAGGCCAATAGTCAATATGCGCAGAGTTATGTCAACCTTGTTGACAGGGATGGAGGCGTTGGTCCAGCGGGCAGAGTCTAGAGAGGACACAATACAATGAAGAGGTGGGTGGTGGTGGTGCTTATCTACAGATTGTTATTATAGTACGAACATGAAGATGCTCGCGTACAGGAGACAAAGAGATGACCAAACAAATGTGTCATCCTGCACTTCTTGCTTTGTACTAAGACATGTATTTCCTTCATCAGTTATAGTCTCTTCAGATTCAAAAGGACTAACACAGGATTCTTCACCTTTTTTAGAACTATTGCTCCCTTCATGGTCGAACTGTTTTATTTGTTGACTGCTTGTTGTCTTCCATGTTGACTGCAGTCTCACAAAGTTCCCTGACGATTCGCAGAAGGAAGAGGATAATATATGCGGGTGGAAGGCAACCTGTTACTAACGCTTGGAGAAATAGAGAGCACAAAGCAGGAATGATGCTTGCCTGTCAATTGTGATGATCAGCATCTACAAAATTCAGACATGTGCAACGTTTACTGGTAAAAGTTTAAGGAACAATGGTTTAAATATTATTAGATGAAATAACTGATGAAGGCCTCGTTCGCTTGGCTTGTTTTTTGGCTTATTCGGCTTGTTTTTTCAGTCGGAACAGTGTTTTTCTCTCACAACAATTCAGCCAGAACAGTATTTTTCAGCCAGTTTCAGCCAAAGTTCAGACCAGCGAACGGGGCCTAGAGATTCTAGAAAAAGACCTCGAGCATATCCAAGAGATTCTCCAGATTCTTCATAAATGATAGGAATAGAAATTTTAGTAGAAAACTACTCTCCAACGGCTTTTCTAAGAGCATCTGAGACTCTCCTTTTTCCATATCCTTATTAAATGCTAGGAATAGAGATTTTGGTGAAAAACTACCATCCAACAGCTTTTCTATAGCCATCTTCTATTCTGGATTTTTCGCTAGCCAAAAATAGAAGACGAGAATGACTCTCTAGAGTGCGCATGAGATATAGAAAAACTGTTGGAGAGTGAAAAGATATAGAAAGTGGTTTTTATACAAATGGCTCTCAAATGATGATTTAGAGAGTGAGATTTAGAAATGCTCTTGAATATAGAAAGATGGTTGAAGAGAGAAAAGATATAGAAAACGACTTTTATGCAAATAATTTTTTAAATAATAATTTAAAGAGTGAGATCTAGAAAGACTTTCGGAGATGGTCTAATCTTTAAGCAGAATAGCATTGAGCGTAGCACGAAACCAATCATGCATCAGTAGGAAAAGTTAGTTCGGGAGGTGTGCAAGGAGACAGACTACAAACATATGAATTGCATGTTGATTGGTTGGGACGCCGGCGGCTTAAGCTGATACCGTCAGCGGCGGATCCAGGAAATATTTTAGGGGGACTAAACAACACATACTGTTCGATCTTAAATCTCAGCCCCCCTACACTATAGAACTTTGCCAAAAATTCATGGGGCTCTACAGGGTTTTCCACAGCTCCGATATGGGTAGGGGGGGCTCGAGCCCCCCCCCCCTCCCCGCCCCACCGTTGGATCCGCCCATGGATACCGCCAATCCGTTTCTCTTGGGTGGACGCATGGGCAGCCCGGGCCGCAAGCTGCGCGCGGCCATGAAGCCTGGCCCCTGCGTCCCTGACGACGAGCTCCTGGAGATGTTTGGCCTCCTCCCCGCGACCCCGCCAAGTCCCTCCACCACTTCAAGTGTATCTCCAATTGCTGGTGCGGCCTGCGTGGGCAGGCGCCTGTGCCGGGCTGCGCACGTGCTCGCATGCCATGCTGCTGTCAAAGCTGAAGACCACCGGGCGGCCGGTTCATCGACGTCTCCTCGAGACCTCGACGCCCAGGGGTTCCGCAATGTGTTACGGTCGGCCTTGTCCACCGCGCGCCGGCCGGATGCACGACACCACGGAGGCCCGGAACTCCACTCGCCGGTGTGCTACCTCATCTGCAACCCGCTCGGCGCGATGGGCGGTCGTGCCAGCTCCGGCCGGATAGGTCCCCTGCAGCCCCTCCCTCCCAGCGGATGGCGCTCACAAGTGACGAAGCCAGCGGTGGGGCTAGGGGGGCTTCAGCCCCCCCTACCCATCCTAAGCACGTGGAGTTCTTCTAAGCCCTCTCTTAAAATTTTATGCATACATGTATTAGGTAGGAGGGGTTAAGGTTAAGAGAAAATAAAAAAGCCTCTGTTCTTTTGTTCAGCCCCTCCTAAATTTTTTTTCTGGCTTCGTCACTAGCGCTCACCTACCTTCCCTTCAACGCCGCGGCGTCGCCACACCCGTTCCACCTTCTCCAGTTCCGGCTACACGCCATGGACTCGGTGCAAACCTACTCGTCCGCGGACGAGGCATGGATCGACAGGGTTGTCCCCTGGCTCCACGGCGGGGACCGGGACTGAAGCCGCAGCATGGTGCTCATCCCACCGGGCACTGACGCTGTCGACGTCAGCGGCATGCTGCACCTGGTCGTTGAAACCGATGGCATCGCGGCCCGGACCTCCCGTCCTTGCCAACTCCTCCTCCATCCTTGACCCTACGTCTCGTTCACCTCTGCCTCCTCACCCATTGCTAGTCCAGCGGCGCGATCCTGAGCTCCACCGCTGTCCAGGACACAGCGGCATAAACGTGGCATGCTGACGTCGAGAATCCGGATCCTCGACTTCTCCACTTTGTTTGGACTCGGCGAGACCAAGAGCCTCATCGCCGGTGCTGACGAGAACGGGTTCACCTTCATCTACAACCACGACCAGCGAACCGTGTACGACAAGCGCCGCCTCAACGATCCAACGCAGATCGAAGCGGTGTGATTTTTGGGTGATCGTGATCTCGGTCGTATGTGGTGCTGATTTGCTTTGCATGTGGGCCGACGGAAAAAATTCCTATGCGACGGCGTCGCACGGTGCTCCTGTGCGACACCCAATAACCAGCTGACGCGTGTCCCCCGTGGCTGTTCCGTAAAGCCCGTGGCCGTTCCGTGAAGAGGGGTTTGAGCCGTTTCTTTCTCAGCGGATCACGTCGATGCGGATGAGCAGATCACGTAGGACCGATCGGGACTGGAGCACCGCGCATACGCCCCAGGAGAGATAGCTTTGCATGTAGGCATCTCGGGGTGGGCAATCGGTTTAAACCGATCGTTCGGTTCGGTTTGTTCGGTGTTGAAAAACTTCGGTTTGCGCAAAACAACAACCGATCGGACGTCAAAAACAGAAACCGACGTGTTCGGTTTTCGGTTTAATTGGCTCGGTGTTCGGTTTCCCCCGAACTTCAGCATATGTCCCTGCCGCTCATCAGCTCCATCGACTCTTGCTCACGTCTCCCCAACAAGCCAAGAACCAATGAAAATTAATACCTGTGTGGGTGTCGCATGCCACCATCGCAGTTCAAAGTGGGTTGGTGCCTGATTTGATGACCAACAGTGCTCGCTGACCATCTTCGCTGCACTTGCATCTTGCCGCGCTGCCTCCCAGGGCGCTCAACTCGCACTCGCCCCCTGTGCCTGCGCCATCTGCCGCGCTGGCCGCCGGGGCTGCCACGCGCAGCCGCGCCGCCTAGCTCGCCACTCGCGGCCACGACCACAAGCTTGCCGCTCGTCCGCACTCCACACTCACTGCTCACACGCACGGCCGCGTCGCATGAGCGGATAGATCGAGATTTGAGACTCGAGAGAAGAACGAAGGAGAAAGAGATAAGGATGAAGGAAAAGGAAAGGAGAGAGGGATGGCAAGACAGGGACACGGTCATGGGAGTCCTTCCTTTTGCCTGCAGGTTCTGGGAGCTTCACATGATGGGCCTTCTTGGGCCAGGACTGGTGCCGTGCGATTGCGAGCGGCAGGGTGCGCTACAACAGAGTTCGGTTTGATCGGGTGTTCGGTTTTCGTCGCCTGCAAACCGATGCCGAAGCCAAACACCGAAACACTGGAAACATGAAACCGAAACCGAAAGACCGAAAAACCGAAAGTTCGGTTTGGTTCGGTTTGGTTATCGGTTCTCGGTTAAAATATGCCCAGTCTGAAGGCATGCAAAGGTATCGCCGGTATCAGTCCAAAATCCTAACAAATTATTCTTCCGCCCTCTTTATATGAGGAGTTGCAACCGACCGGACTATAGTGGCACGTCCATGAGGGAGAGGGACTGGAGGGACTGGGCATCCCTCGAAAGAGGGCTGCTGCATGACGTGTTCGTCCGCCTCTCAAGGCGACGATGACGCTGTCCATTTTCGCCGCGTGTGCCGGCACTGGCGCGTCGCCGCGGACGCCGGCACGGCTGTGCACCGGCCATGGTTCGTCTTGAAACCTGCTAATGACGACGAGACTCTTCATACTGTTCATGCCTTAGTACAGCCCGTGGATCGCCGCCGCTGCCACACCCATGTCAGGCCTGTCCGTGTCGACGCCGCCGCCGCTGCCGTCAATGGAGCATGGCCTCCCGCCTGCGTGAGGGGCACGTCGCGCGGCTGGCTCGCCGTGAACGAGGGCGAGCGCCTCCTACTCAGGGACCCCATCTCCCGCGCCGAGATCCCGCTGCCTGCCTTCGACGCTGGCTACCTGCTGTTCGACGTCTTCCTCTCCGACGACCCTCTCGCCGCGCCCAGCAGCTGGACGGCGTTCGCCTTCTTCAGGTGGGACGACGTCTGTACCCACAACCCGGGAGAAGTGCTCGCCTTCTGCCGCCCCGGCGACGCCGAGTGGGCACGGGTTGATCTGGATGATGACGGCCATGGCTATCAGGGCCAGCCGATGCGGCTCTACCAGGGGCTCGAGTTCTTCGGGGGGCGACCCTACGTGCTCCTCGCAAAACCTAGCAGGCTCGCCGTCTGAGACGTCGAGGCCCGGAGGCTCGTGGTGAGCTCGGTACAGATTTATTTACCACCGGGTTGGGAGTGGGAGTGGGCCTGGCAACAGTGCCTGGTGGAGTGTGGCGGCGACCTCCTGGTCGTGCAGGTGGCGCGGCGCGAGGAGTATAGGTCGCCGTGGTACTGCCCAGGGCACTGCCTCGGCAGCCACTACTTCTTGAGGCGCACGAACCGGTACTTCGCCAAGGTGTTCAAGATCGTGTTCGACGCGGACGGCGGTGGCATGCCAGTGGCGTCGGAGGCGGTGGCGAGCACCGGGGACTACGCCGTGTTCGTGGCGCCGCAGGGCCACGCGTTCGCACTCCCGGCGAGCGGCTTCCCCGCCGTCAGGGCAGGCTGTGTCTACTTCTTTGCTATCAACCATACGAGGAGCGTGCAAGGGATGGTCATCATTGATCTCAAGGCGGATCCCACGCGACGCGATAAGATCGTCCGGAAGCTGCCCCTCGCCGGAAACTGGCACATACTCTCTTGGCTTTGCCCTCGCCCGGTGTTGGATACGACGACGACGCCACGCAGGCGCAGGTGCTCGATCCATGGCCTTCGTAATGCTTTCCCTTTTTTCAATTAAATTAGTTAAAATGCTACTCTAGTTTCGTCTTTGAAGTCATTTCGTTCCTTTAAAATTAGGGTAAAGTTCACTTTAGGTCCTCCAACTATCGTAGAAGTATGGATTTCAACCTCCAACTTCAAAACCGGATAACATTGGCCCTCCAACTCTCGAAAAAGTTCACTTTAGGACCATGGCCGGTTTCCCAGGCGGTTTTGCATGGCACTGTAGCCATGCTGACGTCAGCGATGACGTCAGCACTCCTTTTTAATTTGCAAAATTGATATCTTTTTATTCGGAGCTCCAAATATAGCAAATAATATATCAATTTTGATCGTCTCGACGAGCTCTTTGCAATGGTGTACTCCGTTTTGTTGTTTGAGATAATTTTATTTCATGAAAAAATAAATATTTCTACAAAACAAGTTATGCAATTAAGCTGACGTATGCAAGTATTTTATATACTTTGTATATTTATATTATTTGCTATAAAACAGGGAGTTGGACGGTCAATCAGACCTGCCACGATCGCTTAGATATTTTTGAATTAACCTTCCCTAGCTGCGGTTAACTAACTGTCAACATATGACACGATCAAACGATATGTTTACTGCTCCTAGTGTAGTTTTTTTTCTGTTTTTGTGGTGAAATTAAGTAGCTAGTGGTAGTAGTAGTATTATATTTATCTTGTACCCAAATCCGATACAGTATACGATTCGTGTACACCTGTCCTTTTTCCTTTCCTATGGCTACTATTGCAGCACACAGGAACTGGACGACCATTCGGCCGACCTGTACGTATCTGTTTCCTGGCTGGCATGGCATGAGTATGACCGCATGAAGTGGCAGTGGATAGCTAGATTGAATTGAGGGAGCAGGTAGCAGCAATAGTGAGTGGCTTACTCGTGGTCTAGAATCTTGTGCGGCATCGGTAAGTTGAGCGCGCGTGCCCATGAAGGTCGTCCGGCGAGGATCTCCGTGGCGTCGGCGTTGCGGCGCTTCTCGTCGCCTCGCGCCCTTGCCGACGCGAGGTGGCGGCACCTGCAAGCGAAGCTCGTGTCGTCGGCAGCCGAACCGAGACGGACACGGCGCCTTTGTTGAATTATTGCGAAATATTTTGAATTATTGCGAAATATTTTGAATTATTGCGAAATATTTACTGACCAAGGCGGACACCAAGCGAAATATTTCTACAAAACAAGTTTTGAATTATTGCATTTCAAAATGGTCAAACTTATATATTCTATGGTCAAATGAACCTAAAAGACAACATTTCGTGTTACATAATAATAAAAATATTATTTATCTAACAAATTCCACGAGTTCTCATTATTCTAACTTGTTTTGTAGAAATATTTATTTTTTCATGAAATAAAATTATCTCAAACAACAAAACGGAGTACACCATTGCAAAGAGCTCGTCGAGACGATCAAAATTGATATATTATTTGCTATATTTGAAGCTCCGAATAAAAAGATATCAATTTTGCAAATTAAAAAGAAGTGCTGACGTCATCGCTGACGTCAGCACTGCTACAGTGCCATGCAAAACCGCCAGGGAAACCGGCCAGGGTCCTAAAGTGAACTTTTTCGAGAGTTGGAGGGCCAATGTTATCCGATTTTGAAGTTGGAGGTTGAAATCCATACTTCTATGATAGTTGGAGGTCCTAAAGTGAACTTTACCCTTAAAATTAAGGGTAAAGTACATTTTACAACCCTCAACTCATGCCGAAGTTCGATTTTTCAACCTTCAACTATGAAACCGGTTAAGAAACACCCTCCAACTATCAAAACCGGACAAATTTGGTCCTCGGCTGGTTTCAAAAGCGGTTTTCTATTTTCGGGATGCGCTGAAATTTTATATTATTTTTTTGAGCATCTTAACGTCCTCAAATGAAAAAACTCAAAACTTTTGTAGATCTCATTGAGAGCTACAACTTTGATATAAAAAGTATTTTCATTTAACTCAATACAAATAATATATTAGTGCTTTAATGCGGCAGCGATTATTATGGTGCTGAAATTTTATATTATTTTTTCGAGCATTTTAACGTCCTCAAATGAAAAAATTCAAAACTACAAAGTTGTAGACCTCGATGAGATCTACAACTTTATAGTTTTAATTTTTTTCATTTGAGGACAGTAGGATGCTCGAAAAAATAATATAAAATTTCAGCACCATAATAATCGCCTACTAGCGCTTGCCGCATTAGAGCACTAATATATTATTTGTATGGAGTTAAATGAAAATACTTTTTATACTAAAGTTGTAGCTCTCAATGAGACCTACAACTTTGTAGTTTTGAGTTTTTTCATTTGAGGAAGTTAAGATGCTCGAAAAAATAATATAAAATTTCAGCACCAAAATAATCGCTGCCGCATTAGAGCACTAATATATTATTTGTATGGAGTTAAATGAAAATATTTTTTATACCAAAGTTGTAGCTCTCAATGAGATCTACAACTTTGTAGTTTTGATTTTTTTCATCTGAGGACGTTAAGATGCTCAAAAAAATAATATAAAATTTCAGCGCCTCCCGAAAATAGAAAACCACTTTTGAAACCAGCCGAGGACCAAATTTGTCCGGTTTTGATAGTTGGAGGGTGTTTGTTAACCGGTTTCATAGTTGAAGGTTGAAAATCGAACTTCGGCGTGAGTTGAGAGTTGTAAAGTGTACTTTACCCTAAAATTAATGCTCTTTTATTCGAGACCATGTACTGTCGTGCTCGTGCACAAATGAACTCTTGGTTTTTCGATTCCTTCGGTGATTCATTTGTAATTCCTATTCGATTTTTTGGGCGATTCATTTTCAATTCCTAATGCCTTGTTTGGAATGGAGGAAGTTTAAAGGAATTTCAAAGGAATGTCAAACCTCTGTTTTGCTGATGACACTATGCGTTTGGTACGGAGGAATCGGCAAAGAACTTTTCACAGGAACGGTGGAGAAGCATGTACTTTTGCAGGAAACAAAAAATGAGCTCCGAGTCAATGGAAAGCAGTCCCGTGGCCACTCGCTCAGCTTTGCTTCTTATTGTTTTTTTTTAATGTCACTGGGGGTGGGAGGATTTTCTCCCCCACCTGAATATTTTTATTGGTAATTGCCCAGAACGGCACGCTAGTTTTACAGGAGCTTTATAAGCTGTCAGGGGATTTAGGTTACAAGCATGGATTAGTCTTGCATTGCCGAATCAAAAGTCGCAGACCAAGCGTCGACAACAGACCGTCTCGCTGGTTTTAGCCTGCAGCGCCACACCTGCGCCTCTTTCATGAATTCAGCAAGCAGCTGTCGCAGTTGAGGAGCTTCATTCCAGAATACAACTGCATTTCTTCGTTTCCACAATTGCCAGAAACATAACGCAAGGACCATTCAAAACTGTTCCTTCGGGATATGATCAGGGCGCGATGTCTGATGAAGTTCAGAGGTTGGCCGTGATGGCGGAACATCCGCACCGATGGCTGCCCAGAAGGAGACGGCAATGGCGCAACCACGGATGATGTGCTCTGAACTTTCCTCCCCCTGCGTGCCAACTTCACAGGTCGTGGAATCCACAATTCGTTTTCTGAATATGTTTTTGCGGCACGAGATACGTCCCTGCACAAGGAGCCAAACAAACATTTTCACTCTTGGCGCTCAGCTTTGCTCGCTCTCTGAACATGCTTATATTGCTAATCTAGCCTTCATAGTGAGACAACATTGACATTTCCTGCTTCAGCCTGCAGCTCGCATCCACGGCACACGAAAGAGAAGTTGCTTTCTCTCTCTAGTTTATATGCTATGTCCTGAACCAGTCTATATTTTCTTAGGGATTCGATTGGTATAAAAAAGTCAATATTGCAATCAAGTTTCAAAGTTTACTAATCTCTTCTCATTCCTGTGTTCCAAACAACTATCTTGGAAAATTTGTATTTTTTCATTTCTCTGTTTTGCAACTACCTTATTTTCCTATACCTGGGTTTTCTATTTCTTTGTTCGAAATAGGCTCTAAGGGGCTATTTGGTTACCGCCATAGTCAGGCAACGCCATCCAGCCCCAATTGGACGCCTAGGATGGTTAGCTGGGCCAGGAGCTGCCTGAGAGGGAAGAACCAAACAGGCCCTAAATGGCTAGGTGGTAGTATTGCAGTAGTCATGAGATGTGGTACGCCAAGATCGATTTGATGTTGGAGTTGCCCTTAGCGACTCTCTGAACTGTCAGCAACAAGAAGATTTGCTAATTGCTAGCTAACTAAAATTTAGCCAAAATTTGCCCCGTGCATCTAAACAGGAGGGCTAACAGGTGGTCTAGTTTTTGAGCCAAGCTTTCAACTAGTTGTTAGTCATCTAACTAGTCAATATCAACTAATTTAGGTTAATTTTTATCCCCAGTTAGTATCTAACTATATGTATCAAACAGGCTCTAAGTCAACAACGAAATTTATTTTACCACATTGGTATTAGTCGGTTTTTTCCTGGCCAGTTTCTATTGGCAAACAAGGCCAGTAGTGTTATCAAGTACACCATTGTCACTAGTCGGTTGAATTGATTTTGTTCTGAATCAAATTTGTTATCAAGACCTATTTGCACATTTCAGTGTTGCTGCTAGATGGTGAGAAACAGTTGCATTCAATTCTGTGAGTTATATCAGAGCAGGGATGGGACTTTTGCATAAATACAAGATAAAGAGTTGAAAAGAAAATTTATGGGAAGTGCAAACTTTCACATGCCTGAACAGGCGCCAGATCCTAACGTCGATAGATCGTCTTGAACTTTCGTCTCTCCTCCTTGCGAGATAAACCATGGCTGCCCATCCTCCCCTCCCCGGCTCCCCCAGCAAGTCGTATCATCGGCTCATGGCAGTCAGAAAGTACCTCCGTTCGATTTTTTAGCAGACATACTTTAGGATTAACGAAAGGAGGCACCAGGAGTTCACTAATTGTACTGCTAAGTACTAACTATAGAAAGCAAAAAGACAAGACAACCACCGTGGCTAGTAGCTGGGGAGGAACCAGCCACGGCGAGCCCACCCGGCCGAAGAGGATCCGTCGTCGGGGCAGATGGTCTCCTCGTGGCGCCGCCACTGGCTGTCCATGCCCAGCACCCTGACGACCCCGTCCGGGTGGCCCTGCCGGTCGACGAGGTAGATGCAGTTGGCGCGGCAGCAGGGGAACTCCGCCCCGGAGAGCGCGAACGCGCGATTCCGCCCCAGGAACAGATTGTTCCAGCCGATGTCCAGCACGCGCACCAGCCGCACCGCGCCATCCCCGAGCCACTCCACCCTGTGCACCTCCACCGCACGCGCGTCCTGGCCCTTGTTGCCCCCGTCGTCCACGGCGAGGCCCGCCATGTCGACGATGTCGTCGTCCGAGTTGTACACGACGTCGTCCTGCACCGAGACGAGGAGCAACTGGCCGCCGCACTCAACCAGGTGCGTGTCCACGACGCGCCTCCCGACGCCAGGGAGCTTGTCGTCGTCGTCGTCGTCGTCGTCCGAGGCGTCGCCGTCCGCGTCGACGACGTGCTCGAGCGGGATGACCGCGGGCGCGTCCCCGTCGACCTCGCAGATGCAGATCCGGGACTTGAAGGCCACGTAGAACCGCCCCTCGTAGTGCTCGACGCCGGCGTAGCCGGGCACGCGGAAGTCGAGCCGCGCCCACGCCCCGGTGGCGGAGCTGTAGTAGGCGAGGCAGGTGGTCGGGAACCCGACGGCCACCGCGGCCCACTCGGCGGCCGTGGCGGGGTCGCCCGACAGCACGACGGTGGTCAAGTCGAGCCACTTGCGGAAGAAGCCGATGGGCGGGAGGTGGACGCGCCTGCCGGTGAAGGGGTTGAGGAGGAGGATGGCCTTGGGGCTAATCCTCGGGTCCGAGAGCGCGAGGTAGCCGTGGGACGAGGAGGAGAGGTACTCCAGCCCCGGTGGCACGTTGGCGGCGAAGGGCAGGAGGCCACCGCTGGGGGAGAGCCAGAACGACGACATGGCGCCGGCGCCCCGGCCGGAGCGATCGGTGCGGGATCCGACGAGCCAGGGGCGCGGGCGCCACGCGGCGGCGGCGGCGCCCCAGCCCGCGCAGACGGCGCGGAAGCGGATGCGGTCGACGTCGGAGGGGAGGAGGGCGAATACTGTGAGCAGCAGGTCCGCCGGCAGCGAGGACCACCCCGTGCCGCCCCTGCCGCCGCACGCCATGCCCGGGCCCGGCTGAGGCGCCGAGGAGAGGCTAGGCAACGAGCCAACTGATTGACCCCTAACCCGTCTGCGCTGTGCGCTCACGGCGCTGCTTGCCCGCCCACTTAAGCAAAGAATGGGGCCGGAAAGGCAGAGCCCGGCCGCCCGCCCAAGTGAACATGCGAGGCTGATGCAGTGAGAGCAAGTATTATAAGGCTGATTCAGCCGGCTGAATCCCAGGTCACGTAGGAAAGAAGCGTGACGTGGCAGAGAGAGAAATGGAGAGAGAGGATGAGCCGGCGCTAAACTCTCCGCCCGGCTGAATGGCTCACACCGCCCGTTCCCAGCCAATGGCAGGCAATAAGCCTCGGCGCTTGCTCCCTGCCACCTTCCTCTCTCTCTCTCTCTCTCTCTCTCTCTCTCTCTCTCTGGATAAGCATTAAATACTGCTTGATACAGCCAACCTCTTAGCCAGCTTGTTAGATATTACTTACTACGGCTTTGTTTAGATTGCAAATTTTTACAATCTAGATATTGTAGCACGTTTTTTTTTTTATTTGACAAATTTTGTCCGATCATGGACTAACTAGGCTTAAAAAATTCGTCTTGTGATTTACAACCAAACTGTACAATTAGTTACTTTTTTTACCTATATTTAATGCTTCATACATACGTCCAAAAATTAATATGACGGAGAGAGAATGAAAAAACTTGGAACTTTGATGTCATCTAAACAAGGCCTACATGTGACATGGCATAAGCACTCAGGCGGCGGTCGGCTGGCTTAATAGCCATGCCCTGATGCGCGGCCGCGCGGGCATGGCCGTCAGCCCGTGGCCCGTGCCAGCCAGTTCGATGCGAATCAGGGTCCTGTTTAGATCGTAAATTTTTATAATTTGGACACTGTAGCATGTTTCGTTTGTATTTGACAAATTTTGTTCGATCATGGACTAACTAGACTCAAAAGATTCGTCTCGTGATTTACAACTAAACTGTGTAATTAATTATTTTTTTTACCTACATTTAATACTCTATACATGTGTCTAAAAATTAATGTGATGAAAAGAGAGTAAAAAAACTTTGGAATTTTGATGGGATCTAATCAAGTCCCAGAAGGTCCTCCGTCTCGAGGGGAATCACGATCACGCGGACGCGGAGCATAGGGGCATGCGCGCGCGTGATTTTGACGGGTTCTTTTTTGCACGATCCGGTTTGGTTGGTGTTGACCTTGACCGGCGATGAAGGCAACCCGGCCGGCTTGAGGTACCCATACCTGTTGGTGTTGGTTGGGGGACATAAAAGCACAAACTCCCCCAAAGATTTTTCGAAGGCCGCTGTAACGAATTAACGGTTTATGTCCTGTTCGACGGGTGGTTTTTACTGCTGATAACTTATGGTTAATATTGTTTTTGTTATAAGAGAAAAATATTGTATCATAACTGAAGCGGTTCAAACGAACAGGGCGGTAGCTTCTCACGAAGTCACCACCCATGAGGACAAGAGGATCCAAAATCTTCATGAACAAGATTGAATTACGTTGAAAAAAAAAAGAGCCGGAATCTGACTTGACCGGTTCAGCAAGGGAACTGCCTCTGGCCATCATGCACGGTGGATGAAGATGCCATATCGATATCTTCCGTGATTTTCTTCAACAAACCACACTTGTGCGGCGAGTAAACACGCGTCGTTGGCTTGCGCTCTTACGGTCGCGTGGCGGCGGCGGCGTGCTAACTGCAATTGTCCCTCCACTATCGCCCGGTTATGCTGATTTTCATTTGCTCCGAGTTGCTAATTGCGAGGTAGCATATGCTGCATATCCGAATGGAGGAGTTATTATTAACGTATTATTATATAAACAAAAGTTGAGGAATGGATGAAGATGTTATGTTCGTTTGGGCTTGTTCGGCTTATAAGTCATGGCTGAAAGTATGGTTGGCTAATTCGGTGTGAGAAAAAAATATTGTTCGTTGGCTGATAAGCCATGGCTTATAAGCCGAATACGACCAAGCGAACAGGCTGTAGATGTATGTGATAATGAAAAAGATTTCTAAATATCCGATCAAGAATGCTCATGAAACACGGTTCTAAGGCATGTCATTAGGAATACTTGTCTGTTGTGCCTAAATTCAGATGAAACTTTTATTTATATTGGCGTAAACGCCTGTTGTGCGTAAAAAGCAAGATGTTTAAAAACTTTGGTTCCTTTACCTTCATTTTGCTTAGGATCAGCGGTATATATGCGTCTATGTTCATATATACAACAGATCCTAGCTTTGATCACAAGAAAGAAAATCCAGTAATCATTCAAAACATCTGCATAGAAAAGGGGAAAAAAAAGAAATGCTAAACACCACACGGGTGTTTTATTGAGAGCTGGCCACGACTTTTTTTAGGCGCCGCATCCCCACGCCGCCATCGAAGAAGCGTGGCTACCAGTGGCCCGCCGTTGGGAACTGGGAACCCCAGGCTGTCGGACCGGGGCCGCCGCCACCATGCCCCCGCCGCCGCGTCCGCGCCCAATATCTTCCCAACTCCGACGAGCTCCTTCTCTAACTTCGGCGCCGCCACCAAAATGTTGTTCTTGTCTTTTCATAAGAAAAAATTGTTTCTTGTGATTTGTGCCGACATAACCGCGGATCTTTGTTACTTGTGATTTGTGCCGACATAGCCGCGGCCAAGGGCGGGGCGAGTTGTGCAATGCGTCAGAGGTAGAAAAAGGCTGAAGGCTTAAAACTGTTGGATCTTCGTCTTACGGTTAAAAAAAAATTATGTATTAAAATTATATAAAACACGTGGTTACGTAGAAGATGGACTAAAAAAAAACTCTGCCGTGGAGTGTCCAGATTCTGCCAATAAAACATCGAGGGGTCTCTTCGCAAAAGGCGGCTACCAAAACGCTCCATTGCCTTGCCTTCCCCACTTCCCCGGCCCCTGCCTCCCGCCGCCGACACCACCACAAACCCTAGCAGCTCCACCCCCGCCGCCGCCATGGCCGACCCTAGGATGTTCCCTTCGGGATCAGACGACCGCGCCGACGCCTCCGACGCGGGACGCCGGGTCTACAACCCGTACCAGGACCTCAACATGCCCTACAGCTACCGGACGCTCTACGACCTCCCCACCTCGCCGGAGTTCCTCTTCGAGGAGGAGGCCCTGGCGCAGCGGCGCTCGTGGGGTGAGAACCTCACTTTCTACACGGGCGTCGGGTACCTCTCGGGCGCCGTCGGCGGCGCCGCCCTGGGCCTCCGCGACGCCGCCAGGGGCGCCGAGCCCGGGGAGACCGCCAAGATCCGCGCCAACCGCGTGCTCAACGCCTGCGGCAGCTCCGGCCGCCGCGTCGGGAACACACTGGGCGTCATCGGCCTCATGTACGCCGGGATCGAGAGCGCCATGGTCGCGGCCCGCGACCGCGACGACTGGATCAACAGCGTCGCCGCTGGGCTTGGCACCGGCGCGCTCTTCCGCGCCGCCAACGGGCCGCGATCCGCAGCCGTCGCAGGCGCCCTGGGCGGGATCCTCGCCGCCGCCGCCATGGGGGGCAAGCAGCTAGCCAAGAGATACGTGAACGTGATATGATCGTGTTTTTTGCGGTAGCAATGGTTCGCATGAGCGAACAACGAAATGGTCCAGTGCTCTTCAGGATACGTACTCCATTAGGGAAGAGGTTTACTTTTTCTGAATGATAATCTGTGTTTTGTTAGTCATGTAAACCAGCTGAATGGGAAATTTTGAGCTGCATTGCAATGCAACATCGTGCTTCAAGATCTTTAGTTCTGCTTTGTGCTTTATTTATGTCTTTATTATGTGCCTGTTTAGTTCTCAAAATTTTGCAAAATTTTTCAAAATTTCCCGTCACATCGAATCTTTGACGCATGCATGAGCATTAAATATAAATAAAAAATAAAACTAATTACACAGTTTAGACGAAATTCACGAGACGAATCTTTTAAGCCTAATTAGACTATGATTGGACACTAATTGTCAAGTAACAACGAAAGTGCTATAGTACCATTTCTTCAAAAAAATCACCAACTAAACCAGGCCTATGTTGAGGATAGAATGATAGATCATAGATGGAGATCCTAATCTCATTCGTAGTGGATGATGCGTTGGAATGGATGTGTGTTGTGGTGCTGTGTGGAGTGGAATTTTCTGAAGTTGGACACTGTGCCCTTAAGTTTAGTGCCTGTGAGATTAGCTATCAATATTTGCTCAGAGATGAGAGATGACATCTGATTTTCTGCTGTGATTTGTTCTAATTGAGGCAGGTTGGACGTCTGCACCATTATCCTCATTTCATACCATTGTGAAATTAAAAAATTTGTAACCGAGCCTTCATAGAAATTACAGATTGGAAAGACAGAAGATGAAATTACAGATCGGAAAGGCAAGAGCTTCGCAACGAAGCCTTCATGGTGTGTTTGGCAAGTCTAGAGAAAGGGCACAGGAATTGAAGGTGGAAGTTAGTGGAGGGAATTGACGTGGGAGCTTGATTTATACGCCTAATCCCTTATTTGGCATGTGCTAGAAATTAAGAAAGTTTAAGAAGTAGTTTTTTCTGCCTTGGTTTGGTTGGTGGGTTTGGGAATGGGAAATCGTAACTTAATTTATCATCAACGGTAGAGATACGTTCGTCTTGTGTTGATAAGGAATTCTCGCTCAATTCCCACCTCTCTCCCTAGGTTTAACCTCTCCCTGGGTTTAAAGGGCGAGAGATGAGGCCCTCAAATTCTTCTTCCCACAGGAACTCTCATGCCCACCAACCAATTAAAGGAATTTTATTCACACATCTCTTAACTCTTAACTCTCATTCCCTTCTAACAATTCCCTCCAACCAAACTGTGCTGTCAAAGAAATTACAGATTGGGCGGTAGGACCAACATTTTTTTACCCACAGGGCCTAATGACAGCAGCAAAATTCCATTATCAGCCGACACCTCCATTGCGAAGTGTGACCACAACAAAACAACAAAAGGAAGACGTTTTACTTTTAGATTGTTGATGAGATTAACAGTTAAAAAAGATCGAGATGATCCGTTAGACAAAAAAAGAGTCAGTCGCGAATGAGGCCTTCCTCACTTTACTCAGCGTTTGCATCCAAAATGGACGATGCAGGCTACTTTTGGCATTTGAATACAAATATCAAACCTATCAGAAAACACGCGAAGAAAAGATGGACAAAGCGTGGGGAGGCTATGCCGAGCTCTACTCTGCCGTGTGGCACAATTGTCAGGACTTGCGACATCAGGTTCTCTATCATGACAAAACTGGAAACTGCACTAGCACCAATCCTATAACACACTAAACTGCATTCTGTTACAGCCGTTACAGCCTTCGGATATCGATCTTATTCAGCAACCCCATGGGAATAAATCAAAGATTGGGGCCATTTTGACTTCTGATTCACTTCTATGTTCTTGGTGTTTTCTAAGGGTTCAGAGGCTCATCTTCCGCAGTCATCTCTGCTGCTTCTGCAGGAAAATTATCACAGTTAGAAACCGAGAAGATCGGCATCTGATTCGAAGGTGGAAAAAATGGTATTTCAGGTATTAGCATAGAGCAATGTGAACATACTTGTCGATCTGTGAAGATCAGAGACAACCATTAAGCGCCTCTGCAAGATTGCTGCCATGAAAAGGAAAATGGAGCACATGCCGAACATGACAGTTATTGGGAATGCATTCACCTGCACGACAACATTTGTAAGAAAATAAGAATAATTGAAACAAGACGTCCTAATATATAGACCAAATTTTAGAGGAACTTCTATTTATCCACAAGTTTCAGCTGAACAGCTTTATGGATTCCTTGAGTTCCTTCATTGTTAGTAATTTTTTTATAAAAAAAAAAAAAAAAACATGATTCTGGAAATAGGAGTTTCTCTCAAGTTTTTTTGGTTGCTTACATTGTATAGCACCACGCAAACAAACAGGTTGAGTGGTATACGGAAGAAATTCATGATTGTGCTTCTTGCCTCCTCAGGAATATATTGAGATCTCATCTTCATGATTGATGGCCAAAATATACCAACACATGACTCAAAGGTACAGAAACCAAGAAGCTGTAAGCAGCCTCCTAACAAAATGCTACCGCCGTTCTTCCCAGAGGGAGGTACTAGGAACTGTAAAACATAAACAGGCAATGTTAGCGTTAGAGAGGGAGAGAGAGAGACTGCACAATGTGATCAACCGACTTACATTAGTGACAACGGGGAGGAAAAGAGTAAAGGCCGATACAGAAAACACGATTTGCATATAACCTTCAACCTTCAGCTTCCGAGCTAACAAACGAGAAGCAATTGAACTACCCAGCATCGAGGAAAGCATGAAAGTAGCAAATATGAAGCCGTGAGGAATTTCCTCATCCTTTGGGCTCAGAGCAGGAGTCCACAGGAAAACGAAAGTATACATTGATCCCTCAAACAATGACTGTATGGCTCCAAGCAATGCAATCTTCTCGTCTGAAATTTCAAGAGAGTTCTTTCCATGTCAATTTTAAACTCACTAAATTTATCATTCCATTTTCCTAAGCTAGGACAGGTAAAATCTACCTGAAGCAATGGCTTTAGCTGCACCCTTGAACTGGGTTATCAAGTCCTTGCTGTCAGATGAATCTCCGTAGTTCTCACCCCATGATGATAAGATAATTGCCATTCCTATTGCTAGGAAGCAAGCAGCAGCATCAAATGGAGCCACAGGACCAAAACCCATGTTATCAGCAAGAAAATTTGCAAATAGCCCAGCAACAATGGCCACTAGACCATTGCCAAGAAATATAGCCTTGGAGAATGTTATCGACAACCATTGTGGATCAAATCCTTTCTGTACAATAACAGTGTAAATTTGCCCATTGTCAGCAAGAACAAAAGGGAACTGTAGGAATTGACAAAACAATGCATTCAATGGCTTATCATTAGAATATAGAAGAATAAAAAGAGCAACATTGATTATAGACAAAAAGAACAGTGCATTGCATTGATATCCAAGCAATGGACTTCTCATGATACTTGTACATTTCAGCACAGAAATGTACTAATTATCAGCAGGGCGTCCATCATCCTGATATATCTAATGGACTGGGCCACAGTTTAAGTTGCTGGCTTGTTCTGATCAAGCGTGTGAACACCAGATAGTCCAGATCTGCCAACAAGGTTCAAATCAAACAAAAGAGAAAATAAATGGACTGCTGGCAAGTGATCTTGATGCACTGTGTTCTGCAATGCAACCAGCCTCCAAAAAAACATTACCATAATTGCATTTTAATTCAGGTAACTTCAATTTTCAATACCTGAAAAGTCATTTTATACATAGTGTACTGACACTCTAGAAGTCAAACCTCCCAAGTATTTTATCTTTTGTTAGCTTCAGTCAACCTATATACCGACTACTGGCAACAAATGTAGACAAAACCAAAAGCAAAACAAGTCCAAAATGTAACTAATAGTAGCTGTTTTCAAGGGGAAAACGAAGAGCTGATTATAGGATTAAAGTTAAAGCATGTCATCTCCGAGGTATCAGCATCACTGTGGAGAGAGGGATCTGGGCAGCTACCTTGTTGTGCTCTGCGACGAGCCACGACTCAAACGCCGAGAAGAGCAGCGAAGTGGCAATGCCTCCAAGGACGCGGCCAATCATAAGAATTTTGTACTGGGGGGAGTGCTTGGTGAAGCAGCTGAGGATGTAGGTGATGCAGTAGGTGACGCACGCCCTCTTCCGCCCCCTGACCACCCAAAATCCATCAGCCTCGTCGCCATATCCACCAAAACAGAACGAAATCGACTGAATTCAGCCAGGGCAGAGGGGGGCGCACGCACTGCTTATCCGCGAGGGATCCGACGATGGTGCCGAAGAGCATGGAGGAACCGAAGCCGGCGATGAAGAGGCGGCCGATGTCGCCCTTGTCGAAGCCGTACTGGCTGTAGAGGTAGTACACGTAGGGCCCCTGCAGCCAGTCCCCAGCTGCACCATCCATCCGCCGGAGCACAATAACGTCAGAGACCACCAAACACCACCGGCATTGCGCCCCCAATCCAGATCTGGAGGACGCAGTGCCGCGACGCGACGGGGATTCGAGGGAGGAACCAGGAACCAGGAATCAGGAGGGAGGCGTACACATCATGAGGGAGTAGACGAGGATGTAGTTGTTCTTGAAGGAGTTGAAGGCCGGGGAGGTGGCGACTCGGTCCTTGCCGGACTTGCCGAGCTCCAGCGCCGCCACGATGGCGGCGAGCGCGCCGAACACGAGGTAGTAGAACATCTCCATGGCGGGCCGGGGAGATCGCGAGGGGTGGAAGGGGGAAAGGGTGGTGGGATTTGGGGTGGCGATTGGTTAGGATTTATACGGCGCACCGGCTTGGCTTCTTCGTCGTCCCGACTCCCGACGGGATCTTGGTGGCGAGGCAGCAGTGGGCACTCGAGGCACTCTGGTGGTCTGGCCGCGGTGTGCCGTGTGCGCGTGCAGCGTGCCGGCGTGCCGAACGGTTGGCTGGGCCGCACTAGTCCAGCCACCAGGCCCTGTTTGCGGATTAGCAGTCCGTCCAATTTTAACCTTCGAAACCATCTGGCTATCTTAACTGTCAAAATTGTTCACTTTTAGCAATTTAATGGAGGCAAGACTATTTTGACCTACGTTAAACGGTTTTGATATGCAACCTCCATCTCAGTGACATGTGGGGCCCATGCGTCATCGACTCAATCCCTCCATCTCCATCCTCACAGCCACGGCCTCGCGCTCCTGGACGCCGACGAGGAAGGCGGCCGCGACGCCGACCGCGGCAGCACACGCGCGGTCTACCCATCGCCGCCGCCAGCGCGTGTGCTGCCGCGGTCGGCGCCACGGCTGCCTTCCTTGTCGGCGTCTAGGAGCGCGAGGCCGTGGCCGTGAGGATGGAGAGGGAGGGATTGAGTCGATGACGCGTGGGCCCCACATGTCACTGAGATGGAGGTTGCATGTCAAAATCGTTCAACGTCGGTCAAAACAGCCTTGCTCCCGTTCAAGTGTTAAAAGTGAACGGTTTTGACAGTTGGGGTATTGGTACTAGACGATTTTATAGTTGGGGGTTAAAATTGGACCGACACAATAGTTGAGGGGCCAAAAGTAGACTTAATCCCCCTGTTCGCTTGAACTTATCAGCAGAGATGAACATGGATCGGATTGGATAATAGCTTCCCCGTATCCTAATTTATTTTTCTTGATCGGATTAACGGATGGGATATCATGCGGATTCGGATGTGAATACGAATTTTTTTAGATATCGGAAATGTTACGGATTCGGACCGGTGTCGAAGCGGAAGCGGACTTTTTTTTAAGTCGGATAATATGTGCTTATGTGTTGTTTTTTATGATGAGAAACAATTCATTAACCAAAGTCATAAAGCGGCGGTACAACACGAAATAATCACCATCAATCCACCACTTTGATGATTTAAGAGCTCACAAAATTAATACAAGTTCTCCGTTTGAATTTAAAGTATAAAACAAGTGTGTAAAAGAAATAAATATTCTTAAGTAGGCAAAACTTTGTCTTAACTCTTAGCCGTGTATTAGTCCTCCACTTTGGTAGATGATAATTCTTTCATCACTTGTAATTTTACCGGCCTATAGTTGACGAGATTTGTTGTGGGCTACAATATAATGGGCCTGTTCGCTTGTCTGAATTTTGGAGGAATCTGGATGGTTTGGAGAAATGCTGGAGGAATTTGTGAGAGAAAAATATTGTTCCGAATGAAAAAATAAGCGGGTCAAGCCGGGTTTAAGGACACACGAACAGAGCCAATAATGCTTGTGTCATGGGCTAGGTTGACTTATATTCTTGCCACTTGAACTCCTTATAATATTCTGATTATCCTATTATAAGTGTCGAATAATCCACGTTCAATTATCGGATAATCCATATCCGCCGGATTTCGCCAATCACATATCCTACAACGCATCCGCATATAATCAGATTCGGATTATCCATATCCGCACGGATATTAAAAACACTTCTCTATATCCTTAAAATTCGGATTCGGAGCGGATCTAATCGGAGTGGAAGATTATCCATACCACTTTCACCCATACTTATCAGCCATGGTATAGTGTTTTTCTCTCACAACAAATCACCTAACCATGCTTTTCAACATGTCTTTTTTTTTCGTGCCTGCGTGCCGGTGCTGGCTGAATTTCAAAATGTTCTCAACGTAAAAAAAAAAGAAAATTCAAAATGTTCATTTGGCGTTTGCCTGTTCCAGTTCCACTTGTATTTTTATTCTGTCTACCGGTGTAGCGTGACTGAGACGAATTAAAAGAACAGTTTGATTACCAAAAGAAAAATGTTAACCTTATCTATGCTTATTTACTGTTTCTTGCTCTCTCTCATGTGTCACCCCCACCCTTTTAACTAAAATTTTTATTGGCGTCGCACGATCTTTCTTCTATTTTCTTATTAGTACCGGAAGAGAACAACAGAGAAGAGAGAAGTCTAGGGAGAGAGGAAAGGGAGGATGAGACAGCAAGGTCTAAAAAAGATGACATTTCAAACCTCTATTAGCTACTGACGAGTCACGTAGAGGGAGAAAAAATTGAAACGGAGGCATAAAGGTCACAATAACTTTTTTGATCATCCATATGAAATTTGGATCTTTTTATTGTGGCTTGTAAGTACTCCTAGTTGACTCTAGTAAGCCTAACTGCTTCCACTACTAGATCCGCAAACCGCCTTTCATTTCATCTAGTGTGGAGCAGAGGCAAGAGGCCAAAGTTAGGGAGGCAAGTAGACAATGCCCTTGAGCCAGCCATAAGAGCATCTCCAAGAGGCTTCGTAAAACGAAACTCCAAAATAAATGGTTTTGAGGGTCTCCAAAATAGAAAACACATATATGTTCAACTGGATTGTAGCGGAACTTAACTATTCACTCCAATCTATTTCAACACATGTGGATTGATGTGAATACATGTACATTAAACAAGACCTAATTTCGATAGCAAGCATTGCCCGAACAGAAAACATGGAATGGAGGACTCTGAAAAAAATCAAGGTATTGGACTCAAATTGGGCCTTCTGATTGCAAAACTAGAGTTCACATGATAAGGAATCTCTTGAAAATGGTCTAATAACCAAACATTTTTGGCCATTCGAGGACCTGTTGGACCAAAATGAACTAAAACAAATTCGGTCATCTATCAGCAGAAGCCAAGATCGAGACCAGAATTTCAGTTGTCTCGGATGATTATATCCACCGCTAGTGGCCAGAAGCCCAGAACTACAACGGCCAAAAGTATGCAAGGGGAGAGGATGGATGATGTTTTAGATTAGGATGATGATATATAGGAATGTATACTGGATCAACTTGAAACTTATTGGTGTGTTTCTAAAGTGCAGCTTACACTAGATTATTTCTTGGACCATTTGTTACATCGCTTTTTCATGGAGGTCAGTGCTCACTGCTTTGCAGAAGAAACATTTATCCTCTGCAATGGGCCTTGTCAAGAGTAGAGACACCCAACAAAAGGTAATAAAAAAAAGGAATGTCAGCCCATGAGGTTGGGCCTCCGTTTTCGGCTTTCCTATGCAACTGTCTGGGCTTGGCTCGTCGATTTGGGCTACAGATACCTGGACTGGATCTCCAGAAATCAGAAAAGAATGTGTTGGGCAGGCAAACAACTAAAAGATTTCCTTAAAAAAAAAGGGTAAACAACTAAGAGAAACCGAAAAGTCTGCATCAGTAATGGACCAATAACAACAGAGTTCCATTCAGGAGACCAAAAGAAGAGAGCGATGACAACAGAGTGAGAACACAGGAACTCTGCTTTTGGACTAACCAAACAATAGAAAAGCATTCCTTAAAAAAAACAATAGAAAAGCAGCACAACAAGAATCTCATTTGGATTTTTGCTCCTGGTCCTGGAGACTTCACGAGTTCACGTTAGGTATAATAAACCTGAAACAAGATTTTGAGCACCGAGAGGGCTCCAATTCCCTCTCGGCTCTCGCACTGATGACTGGCCGACCAGTGTTGGAATTCCCGGATGTCCCATTCAGGTGAGCATGTCCGGATAAAGACTAGGCAGCGACGTGACATTGGCCAACGCCAACACAGAGAGCTGCCTTTACAAGCCAGTAACGACGGCCCTTTGGTTGCAATTGCATCAGCGTCACCTCACTGACCAATATTGTTGAGCGGCGCGGCGGGCGTTTGTGCAGTTAGATCTGATGCATGAGCATGACGCAGCTCCTCCTCGATCTCAACTGATCCCAATTAGCACATGCGATTACGCGATGCCAGCGCATGAGCAAATTCTACGGGCTGAATCGCCCAGTTCGTTTAGACTTGTTTGGCTTATAAGTCGTACTTTTTCAGTCAACGAACAGTATTTTTCTTTCATATCAAATCAGCCAACAGTACTTTCAGTCATGACTTATCAGCCAAACAAGCCCAAACAAACAAGGCGTTTATCCAGAATAGCTTATGACAATTAGCACGCTTGGCTCTGATGGATTGGAGGGAGCGCTTTTTACCTGCAGTTGCTATCTGCCCATGTGGCATCACCACCACCGTTTTGTTCCTAGCGGCGAAGCCATTCTTTGGATGGATGAGAATGAATGAACCCATTCATTTAGATGGCTGAGGCTGAAGCTTTTGCAGTTTTGCTTCTAATTAATATCCTTTGCTTTTGCCTGAGGCTGAAGCCATTCATTTATATGGCTTCTTCAGAATATACTAGTACTACATTCGCAGCTAATCAGCGGCCTTCTTCAGAATATAGCCACTGCTACGATAATAAAGGTACATGTGACCCAATATTCTGCCTATTCTCTATGCGTGGTCATATTTCCTTCGGTGGCTGATCACTCGTTTTGATTCTTCAATAGAAAGGTAAGTTTGCGAGCTTTGCAATTGAGGACTTCTACCACTCTTATCAGTCGCCGTGGCCAATATTTTATTTAGTTTAGCCTGCTCTTCCCTTCTCCTGATGACAAATTTGCCGATTTCTTAACCTCTAAGGTTCAAAGGTTCACTTCTGAAGAAAAATAACTGCAGAGACACTACCTACCACGGTGTCATCACTGAACATTTACTGTGCAAGAATTGACGGTTCTTCACAGGCCATGATAATCCACTCGTCAGGGCGGATTTCTAGGTTTCCTAATGTGAATACTCCTATGTTCTTACAAAGCTGATGGGTGTGCCAAATGCGATCGATCTTTCTAAAATAAAAGCTCGTCAGTGGACAGCCATTCTGGTTTTCAGTTCCAGCTGCCAAGTGTGTTCCTTCCCTTTTACGCTACTCTGTGCGTCCAGCTGTTAGCAGCGCGCATAGGTTTTAATTCATAACCTGAGATTTGCTCCTAAACAGCTGTTGAGCAAATCTCAGGTGACAAAAAAGCATGGGTTCAGCTGAGAGCTGACACTTTCCTGTGTTGTCCAAATGCAATTCCAGCTGCAAAGCTTGCTCTGTTTTGCTGGAGAAACCTGCCGAAAGCAACACGACCTGTGGTCCTGCACATTAGTGCTAATGGAATCGATGCTATAGTAGTATTGTCTTTTCCAAAAACAATCCAGTGCAGGATTCACATGAACAGAAAGACACGGAATTGCTTGCAGATCAAAATCCGCGTGGTACTATAACAAAATATAATGGCAAAATTTCTTCTTCATTGAGTTAAACATTTATTTTTCTTTTCTTTCCGTCCCTAGTTTCGAAGTCTCCTGTGCGTTGCGGACACCACCCCGCGTCTCATTCACTGGGCAGTGGACCCACCGAACCTCACGGTGGATGCTAGCCCTCCTAGTTCACCGCCGGTGAATACCCACCCGACCGAGGACAACGACGACTCCGCCAAACGTCGCCTCGATAGCTTCATTAACAAAGTGAAGCGTAAGAGGGACTCTCCACTAATTCGTGAGCCTCCAAAGCAGCTTCCTGCTAAGCCAGTGATGCTATGGCGGAGCAGGCGGTTGGCGGCTCAGCTCCTCTCTCGAGTACCCGCTTCCAAGCGAGATGAGATGCTGATCATGCAGCGTATGGGCTTCACCAAGGGTCCATCAGCGCCATCCGCGTTGGAGCTAGAGGCCTATGACATGCTCTTTGGCGGCGACTTGACTGCGTCCGAATCCGAAGCGCTGGACGAGCTCTTCCCGGCTGTTTGGTCCATGCAGCCGCGAGGACGCAAGGCCACCTCCTATGTCACACCGTTTGTGTCGGTATTGGTTGTTTTCGTAATATCGAATCTAGAGGTCTCTTGCTACGATGATCCAGCTACGGCTATGTTAGGTTGACATCCTTCGGCGCTCGATGCAAGCACGTTGTACGTTTGTTTCAACTCTTCTACTTAATACAATGATACGCAAAGCTTTTGCATATTCGAGAAAAAAAAAGTTTCGCCAATATGAACAGAAATGGCCTAATGTTTTGGTGGGTTGCAAAAGAAATGCAATTTTGTCATGGCACAAAACATACGGAACATATTCGCCAACAACTTCACCCTTCGGTGTGTAATAAGCATATAAATTATTTCGTTCGTGCACACACATTTTTGCTGTCGATTTTTATCAGCATCTAGCCTTTTCCTGTGTGGCCCTAGCCCAGGAACAGGTGATCGATTAAACGCAGCACACGTACCGCCGACCCAAAAAAATATATATATTCTTGAGGGAAAATGTATGTGCTGGTACTGGTAAAGGATCGGCGCCGCATCGCTAGCTAATGCATCTCACTATCTCAGAATCAAGGGCACGAGAATATCCTTGTCCTCCACGGCTCGATAAGAACTTGTGTGCCACCCTGCCTAAAATCTGCAACAGATGGAGAACTGTTCATCGTTTTCGTACAGAAACCTCGCTACGGATGGCGACCGGAGCTTATATAACCATAGCCATACGGAGAGTTATAGTTTGCTCTAAGGACGCAAACCACCAGAAGTCCGCCTATCGCCTTTCCTTCTGTTCCGTTGTTGTTTGGGTTTCTAACCACTTCATCTGTGGTTCTGTACCTACACTATGGGATCTCCCAAGATCATATAGTTGCGTTGTATAAGCTGTTCTTTCGGCCTCTTTCTTCTTAATGAAAAACACGTGAAATCGCGGTCGCAAAAAAAAAAAACCCATCAAAAGTCTAGCTAGTTTTGCATATCCTTCTCCATAATGAAACCTTGCACATGGGCCATATGGCCTAAGAAACGATTAAACTTAGGTTAGCAGCTCCTGATTCTCGTGGGCATAACATACAAGGCTAAGCAAAACAAGGCCAAATTTTCTTTCAAACAACACTAAGTCAAGTATGTGTGCCAATCGTTTGAGTTGGTGGTGGGTGTGTTTCATTCGCTGCGGCATCTTGGAGAAATTTGGCATGCATTATTCGTGTTGACCGATGATAAACGCCTTGTTCGTTTGGCTGATAAACCATGAGAAAAATATTGATCGTTGACTGAAAAAGTACGGCTTAAAAAACAAACGAGCATGACGAAACGCGCGGCATGCATTTCAGCATTTGTAGGTCTGTATTGACCGCATAGAACTTTCTAATATTGTACTGGTATAGTGCTCAGCTTCGTACTGGACGCCCAGTCCCCACAAGCAGCGTTCGGAGTGGCAGACAGAGCTAGCAGGAGAGGAGTACGTACAAAGGAACGAACAGTGGAAACGACCTAACCGCTCCGCCGGCTGCTGATCGACCAGGACGGGACGGCCATCCAGAATCAGAGACCATACCGCCCGCTGCCCGAACATGTCCCGCGACGGTTCGGCCGTCCAGCCCCCGGTCCCTCTCGCTCTCGCTCTCGCGGCCGTCGTGGGCTTGCCGCTCTGGCGGCGAAAATTCGCCCGGGAGCGGGGTCGAAAGCGACCGGGGAACCCCAGACGTGGCAGCCGCAGCAGCGCGCGGCCAGCGAGCCTGGACGCGGACGCGGGATCCCCATCCGCAGGCTCGGACCACGTTTGGGGCCTTCGCTTCGCCCGCGCCGCGCCGTCCGTCCCCGGATCGGGCAGCCGCGCTCATGCTCCCGTGCCAGCATTCAGCAACCCAGAGGTGCCCGCGCCAACCAAGCGAAGATGCGCGCGCGCTTCCCCCACGTCTCCGGACCTACACCTAACACCGGTTAGGCGTGACCGCTTTCATAGCGTAGCGTGCTGTGTCTCCTCCGAGACAAGCCCACGTCGGCGACTTTTTCAGTTGAGGTGGCATGCGACGCATATTGACCACGTTGCTTTTGGGGGCTTCCGAGTTGGGCGTAGTGGATGGGTGGTAAGAAAGACTGCTACTGTTGTTGGGTCACCAGAGTTCAACTACCGATCGATCTTGGGTGGGCTAGTTGAGCTAGTAGTTTTCTTTTTCTTTTTCTTTTTAAAAAAAATGTTCAAAGGAAACCTGCTTGAGTGCTGGTTCATGACTAGGAAACACACTTGTACGCAATGCATTTCTTTTGATATTTATAGCCGATGTGCTGTGACCATTGCCACGGTCTAATCAAGTCAGCGATAGGGTTCCGGTTCAGGTGGAGCAATGGAAGAACGCTTCCTTTTTCTTAATTCCATTCCATGGCTGTTTTTAGTAGTCACCATAATACTGCACTCAAGTGTGTGTTGTCGAACAAAAATGTTCCTAAAATAACAAGTATGCAGTTTGACGCCGAGATTTAAGTTTAACATTTCTTTTTGCAAATATAATACGCGCTATACTATGTGAGCCCAGCAGAGAACGACGTGATCATCACAAAGAAAACCAGGCGGGGGGATCAGAAAACTGGCAGTTGAGGAAGCAAATTTGATCGAATATTGTTTTCAAGTTTTTTGACGAGAGGTTGACGTCTGTTTTGATGTCCATTATAAGTTTGTTTTTGCTGGGTCTACGCGTAGCATATATATTGCTGAAGAATGATCCTATGCATGCGTCTCTAGGATGACTGACGGAGTGCGTGACTTCTTCTTTCACCGGTTATATATTACAAAAAATTGGGCGGAACAAAGTCAAAGATGATATACCTCTTCAGGGTTGCAAGAGATGAATGAAGAAGAGGGACGTGGATAACACTAGCTAATCATTGGAGATTACAATTTATCTACAACTGGTGCGGTGTTGTTCTGAGCCCGCGTAGCACAATATATATGCTTATTAGGAAAATTGGCCAGTTTGGATTGTAAAAACAATGCTTCGGTTTTTTGGCAGAAAAGAACTAGTACTATTGTTGCCGCAATCCGTTTTTTTTTTGGACATGCGTCGGTCGAACGCGTCCTAATCAGTATGTTCAGTAGGAGTAAGTACGCATTTTCTTTAAACGCCCTTCCAAAAGGACTGTTAGGGCAAGTGTGGAGCTTTTCCATTCGGTGTTGCTGATAGAATTAGAATCATATATCGCATCGAATCAGGCCGAAGCAACCATTATACTCCTCTAAACGATGATGATTTGGTATCCCAGCTCTTAATCTGGCAAATCTCCGGTAACAGCTAGCTCTGCCGTATTTGGCTGTATGTATCAATGTATGCCAGACGACACGTTTCTCACTAGCAAGTTGTTAACCACACGGCACGTCCAATCCACACGAGTCCGGAGTTCGCACCAAAGTTCCAAATCAGAACAATACCGCCGATCCGATGAGAAGATAAACTCGAATTACTTACACACAAACGCTGTCCTAAAAATTGACGGCAAGGCACTCGAGATTTTTGTGGCATTGGCACGTAGCAAGTTCAGGAACACGTCAAGGACCACCAGTGAGTCGTGACCTGTCCGTTCGGCTGGTCCAACCACACCGAACGCCTCCATCCACTCCTGCACCGGTGCACCCGGACACGAACTCGCGGCGGCCGGATCGAACGAGTCCAAACGATTCCAAACCACTGGAAAGCCGTGGCGATGCCGATGCCGATGCCGACCGACGAAACCACGCGAATCCACCTCGGCTACGCCTACTACGCCCGCCTCTGCAGGCCGCGGCCTTCCGCTGCTCCGCCTTCTTTGACCCCGCGCACGCCACGTGCCCACGCCGCACCCGATCCGCGACCGCACGACGAGTTCCCCTTTCCCCGTCTCGAGAGCCGCCGTCACCGTCTCGGGGCTGGGCGCCCTTAAAGCCCAACCCCCTCCAACATTCCGATCTCCTCTCCCCTCTACTCCGCTCGCCGAAACAGACGAACCGACGTGACCGGATCAAAAGCAGGAGGCAGCAACTGCCAATCCGTTCGCTACGGAGTAGGGAAGGGAAGGAAGGGAAGGCCGGGGGCGCGCGCCGCGATGGGGCCGGACGGCGGCGGCGTCGGAGGGGTGATCGGGGCCCTGGTCTACGGGGCGCTGGCGGTGGTGGCGCTGCGGCTGGTGCTGTCGTACAAGTCGGCGGCGCACGCGCTGCGGCGGGCGTGGCGGTGGGCGGACGAGTGGGCGCAGGCGTACCAGTACTACGAGGTGCCGCTTCTCGCCGGGGACGGCGGCGGCGCGGAGAACCCGCTGTTCCGGAAGGTGGCGGCGTACGTGGCGTCGCTGCCGTCGCTCGAGGACGCGGACGCCGCCTGCGTGCTGTCGTCGGCGGCCAAGAGCAACGACTTCGCGCTGCAGCTGGGGCCGGGCCACACCGCGCGGGACGCCTTCCTGGGCGCGCGCCTCGCGTGGACCAACGCCGGGGACGGCCGCCTCGTGCTGCGCGTGCGCCGCCACGACCGCACACGCGTGCTGCGGCCCTACCTGCAGCACCTCGAGTCCGTCGCCGACGAGATGGAGGCGCGCCGCCGCGAGATGCGGCTCTACGCCAACGCCACCGGCGATTGCGCGCCGCGGTGGACGTCCGCGCCCTTCACCCACCCGGCCACGCTCGACACGGTGGCCATGGACCCGGACCTCAAGGCCCGCGTCCGCGCCGACCTGGAGAGCTTCCTCAAGGGCCGCGCGTACTACCACCGCCTCGGCCGCGTCTGGCGCAGGAGCTACCTGCTCTACGGCGCTCCCGGCACGGGCAAGTCCACGTTCGCCGCCGCGATGGCGAGGTTCCTGGGATACGACGTCTACGACATCGATCTGTCCCGCGGCGGCTGCGACGACCTCCGCGCCCTGCTTCTGGACACCACCCCGCGGTCGCTCATCCTCGTGGAGGACCTCGACCGCTACCTGCGCGGCGGCAGCGGCAACGGCGACGGCGAGACGGCGGCGGCGAGGACTGCGCGTGTGCTCAGCTTCATGGACGGGCTCTCCTCGTGCTGCGGCGAGGAGCGCGTGATGGTGTTCACCATGAGCGGAGGCAAGGACGGCGTGGACCCGGCCGTGCTGCGGCCGGGGCGGCTCGACGTGCACATCCACTTCACCATGTGCGACTTCGAGGGATTCAAGGCTCTGGCAAGCAACTACCTGGGGCTCAAGGACCACAAGCTGTACCCGCAGGTGGAGGAGGGGTTCCACGCCGGCGCCCGCCTCAGCCCCGCCGAGCTCGGCGAGATCATGCTCGCCAACCGCGGGTCCCCGAGCCGCGCGCTCCGCACCGTCATCAGCGCGCTGCAGCACGTGGCGCCGTCACCGTCGTCAGCGCAGCCGCAGCGGACCAGCACCGCGGCGCGGCCGCCGAGGCTGACCTCGAGATTGTCCGGGCACCTCGACGGGGCGAGCGCTGCGGCGTCGGAGGACGCCAGCGCGGCGGAGCATTCGCCGCGGGGCGGGGGCGGGGGCGGGGGAGGTTTCGCCAAGGACGCGCCGATCAGGGAGATAAAAAAGCTCTACGGTCTGATCAAGTACAGGAGCCGCAAGGACGCCGGCGTCGTGCCGGTGGACGACAGCGCGGCGTCGCCGAACGGACGGGGCAGCGACGTTAGCTCCGAGAAGGACCGGTGATTTGTTATTCGGGCTTTGTTCTTTTTCTTTTCCGGTTTTCACTTCTGATAATGATTTCTAAGTACAAATTTCTTGTTTATTCGAAACGTCGGGGCTGTACATTGTAATTGTAAGTAATCTTGTAGCAGTAGGGGCTTTCTTGTTACTCCAGATCCAGAAACCGTGTTCATCTGAAACGCATCCAACTGTGCGGCAGTAAACAAGCTCACACAATGTTCAAAGGTAACGGCATATTCGCAATTTCGCATGCTACGTGACATCTGAATTGCGGGCATGAGCCCAATTTACATTTTGGTGACATCTTACGAAATATACTCAAGTGCAGTAGAACAGCAAATTCTCAACGACTAACAACCAGGACAGCATATTTGTTAGATTGATTGTAGTTAAAGTATTTCGTTACAAAGTCAAAGATCTTTGGTTTTTAACCCCAAAAGAACAGAGATCTGGATTAAATTTGAACTGACTAAACAATTGTTCTATATATAAAACACCATACTACATCGACCCATAGACCATAGTCGTGGACTCGTGGCAAGTGTCAACTGTAATCTGGCTGGAACAAGCGGTCCAGACGACGACAAGCGGGCAGTGCCAAGTGTGGAACTCCCAATCCGCCATTAGTTTCCAAACATCGTGGTTTGCACTTTGTACCAATCTCTGTCACCGAGCTCGCATTAACCTGGACCACCGCCGCTGGTCCGTCCCGGCCCCCTCGCCGGCCGGGCGGACGGAGCGCGGCTGCCGGCAGCTTCGGGACAATCGGCGCCGATTCCTTTTGCCACCATCCAAATTAATCACCGGGCTGGCTGGCTGCGGTTGCGAACTCGCCATCACACCGCTTTCAGGTGTTAGCCCGCGTCCGCTTCGATTCCGGTTCGCGCTTAAAATATAGCCGGACACGCGCGATTACGCGGTGCCAAACAATGCGATGAAGCAAAGACATCCATTATTAAAAAAAAAGTGTTTGGGCTAAGCGGCTGGTGATGATGATTAGGGGCATGGTTCCGCGAGCTAATGATGTGCCTGCCAGGCACTTGTTTGCTGCATGTTGTTATTGTTGTTGCACGTACTCCTACAGCTTATTATCTGTGCCGTTTGGAGGAATGTTCACTGATTTGGTTCACAAGAGCGTGCAGTTGGCATTAGCACAGCACCAGCAGAGCACAGCTAGTTCCAAGGTGTGGAGCAAGGATCAGCCGCCGCCGCACAGCACAGATGTCCTATCGCTGTTCCAGCTTTGCAATCACAGGATGGGTGCCTGGATGCCTGCTCATCGTCCTTCAATCGGTGCGGTCGCATTATTCCTACCATCCGAATTCATATCAGATATCTCCCAGCGTTGAATAATTGATCTTTTTTTTTTTTTTCCTATGATACGGTGTTGACGAACTGACTTAAGAAGATGAGGATGCCGTCGTATGCAGTAGTCCTACTGCTAGTATATATTCTAACGCAAGATTTCGACGTAAGAACACCGTATGCCCTGTTCGTTTAGCTGATAAAATATAACTGAAAATACTGTATTGACTGATTTATTTTGAGAGAAAAATACTGTTCCTCAACTGAAAAAGTACCGCACCTCGCATCTGAACTCAGCACAGCAAAGCCACAGGTACAGTCAGTCACGGTCGTGTGTGTCAAGGATACGGGCCCGGCGAGTCTGTGCCGTGAAACGGAAGCAATTCCAGGCTACGGCGGCGTTCTCCTGTCCGAAAGTTTTTGCGAGCACGGAAGGGAAGGGACTCTCCAGTGCTAGACTTGTTTTTTAAGAAAGGCGGTAAAAGATTTCCTGGATTTTTATTAGACAGAAAAAGGAAAAAAATGAATTAAAAAGTTACAAGCACACAACTGGAGACGAAGCTCATCGCCACCAAGGCAACTCGGCCAGGAACCCGACTAGCTACCAACCTGAAACTCCACCTGAAGCCTAACAACAAGAGCCTTTTATGTGTGTGCCATTATGAAAGATGGTCGCGGTCTACGTGCCACTAAAAAATTCGAACGTACTCTGATGCCGTGACGCTAAACTTTCTTGTCTTTCACGTCATTTCGCCCATTTTTGCATCTTACAGTGTCAAACTGCTACATAAAAAGTCCAGACTGACCTTAGGTCTGAACACTACGTAAAAAAATAACAAAACAAAACAAAAAAACAAACACACGCACGGACGCGTTAGTGGCCAGGCACGCTTGCGAGGTGGGGCCTCTGGTGCCGGCAGGCGTCGAGCGTCCCCAGCACGGTGGCGGGCTAGGAGGGGTCGCGGATGCAGCCACACCTGCCTGAGGAGGTCGCCAGCGCTGGTGCCGGTGGAGTCGAGAAGTGCGCAGTGGCCACGAGCACCAGCAGGAGCTCCCGGAGGCACAGGGAGGCGGAGCGCAGCAGCAGGCTCGCGGCTGCGCCGCACAACAGTAGGTCTTTGAACACGGCCGCATGGTCGAGCTCTGGTCCGGACGCGCCCCGGCCACCGCGAACGGCATGCGTGAGCTCATACCGCCGCGGCGACCATGCCGTGGTACCACCGAACGGCCGCGCCGTGGGCATTGGCGCGCGCGAGCCCCATGAGGAGCGAGGTCCTGGTGACGACGTCCCGGTGTGGCATTTCATCGAACAGGGCCTGCGCGGCGGCGCCAGCGCGAGGCAGCTTGGCGTAGGCATCGACAAGCGAGTGAGCGAGCTCCGCCGCAGCCACCATGGGCGCAGCAGGACCGACACATCTAGGTGCGGCCGTGCACGGGGCTTCGGCGTGGCCAGGCACAGGCCAACGCGGCGAGACGAGCGGGCCCGACAGCCCCCCGGCGAGGCACCCTTGGGCGCGGAGGTGCCGGTCCGACCACCCCGTGCTTGGCGGGCGAACCGAACCAGCCACCGCCACCCGCCGCCGCCGGGCCGTGGCGCAGCGAGATAGGTGGCCGCCGCCAAGCCGCATAAGGCACAGCAGCAGCCCAGAGCAGGCCGTTGCCGTTGCCGCTGCCCGGGCCGTGGGCCCCACGCGGTCTAGCTGGTGGTGGTAGTCGCAAGCCGCGCGCTCCCCTCTCTGTGTTCCAGCTTGGCATGGCAAGCCTAGATCCTCAGGCCTCAGCTCGCGCTACTCTTCTTGAGGAGGAAGAAGGCTTTGGAGTCGCTGACAGCTTGGCCCACCCGGCGGAGAGAGAAAGAGGTAGATGAGGAGGTTACGAGAGGACAGTTGAGACGTTTTCACTAGCTGGACCCACGTGTCAGGACTGGCAAACGGCAAAAGCCAGACGGAAGTGGACGGAATGGCTTAGGAGGCAAAAAAAAAAGTGTCATGGTATATAGGTGTATTCGAACTTTTTAGTGGCACGTAGACCACGACCATCTTTTATAATGACACACAGGGAAAAGACCCTAACAACAACTGAAAAAACAAAGAAACAAAAAGGAGCCCTGTCCAGGCACTCAGAACCAAACCAACTGCAGAAACGCCCCCAACACTGCTCTTGTTGTGATCCAGCATTAGATGTATTTGCCAACTGGTATTGCATCAGATCTTCCTTGCAAAGCATCGACACTTTCAATCTGCATAACGTTGTTCTGAAAAGTTCTTCTATTGCACTTCTTCCCTATGTTCCACCAAAAATAGATGATAATTCCATCAAACTTCCTTCGCTGATCTTTGTCAATTTTTGCTTGACACTTATGCTAGTAAGTATGCAGGGATCCCGTCATACCCACAGTGTCAACCACCGAGAGGCCTAGCCATCGCTTTATGATGGTCCAAACTTGTTTTGTGAATATGTAGTCCTTGCAAAGGTGTGTCGGTGTTTCCGGATCAATACCACAAAGCTTGCATATTGGGTCGTTCGGCCAGTTTCGTTTCGCTAAATTATTTGCAGTTAAGATTTTTTTATGCAGCAACGTCTAAGCAAAAAATCTGCATTTGGGCTCTGTCTTTGTTTTCCAAATCGGAAGGAGTTTTAGCTTGCTAAATGTGCCTATGAATTGGATGACATAGGCGCTTTTGGTTGTATACTCTCCATCTGCAGTCCAGCGCCAACGAATGCTATCATCCACATCATCTTGCAACTAGATTTGGTTCACTTCTTCCCACAGGCTGACATATATTCTTTATTTCCTGTGGCGTGACTAACGGAGTGATGTGCGATATCCATATGTTGTTTTCAAGCGCTTTTTCACTGTTATGGTTTTCATTCTTGATTTCTTGAACAATGTTGGTGCAATAGCTTTTGGTGTTCGCCCATTAATCCATGATGCATGGGCGGATCCAGCAGATGGGGGGGGGGGCTCAAGCCCCCCCTACCCATACCGAAGCAGTGCAAATTACTATAGAACCCCTATGAATTTTTAGGCAAAGTTCTATAGTGTAGGGGGGCTGAGATTTAAGATCGAGCAGCAATGTTGTTCAGCCCCCCCCCCCTCTTAAAATATTTCCTAGATCCGCCGCTGCCATGATGACATCCAGAACATGGACATCCTACCATCTCCTAATGTCACCACTATTGATGCCGCAAAAAGCTCCTGTCTCGGCCATCCACCGGAAGATCAAGTTTGTTCCACGCTCTATCCCGATGTTTCCATTAGTACCATAACCAACGTAGTCTTAAAGCTCTTGAGAAGCGTTTGAGGTCCAGTACCCCTAAACCTCCTTTGTCCTTTGGTCTGCACGTCGTCGGCCAGTTGATGATGGAATGCCCACCATAAACCTTATCTGGTGTCTCTCCCCTCCATAGGAAGCTTCTCCTCAAACGATCAATACTTCTAATTAACCACTTGTGTTCAGGGAAAACACTCATATGGTAAATCGGTTGAGATGAAAGCACCATTTTTACTAGCGTCTCTCTCCCGACTGTGGATAAAAGCCTGCCTTTCCAGCCTGGTAGTCTTGCCCCTATTTTGTCAATCAAAGGTTGGACCTCTATCTTACGCAGTTTCCGCACCTGTAGAGGGAGGCCTAAGTATCTACCAGGGAAACTACGTATCTTTCCGGGAAATTTTGCAGTAACTGCGAAACCGCTGT